GGCGGGCGGGGGGGCGCCCGCCACGCCCCGCCAGCCGTAACGGGTGCCTGGCCCCGCCCCGCTGGTCCACCGGACCCAGGTCTGGGCCTCTGCCAGACCCCTCATCCCTGAATCTGGTCCTTCAACCCTGGACCCTCCTTCCTGTCCTGGGCCCTTCCTCCCCTGGATCCCCACCCCTCGTCCCTGACCCCGCCCCTCGGCCCAGGCCTCTACCTCTTGACCCAGCCTTTCATCCCCAGACCCTGGCACCCACCCTCGCCTGGCCCCTACCCCCACCCCCAGTCCTGGCCTTTTGTCCAGACCCCAGCCTTGCCCGCACCGCCGGGCTGTTGCTGCGTGAATGGGTAGAAGCCATTGGTCTTGAGGCGGTCGGCCAGGTGGCGCTCAGTGCAGAAGAATCCCAGGGCCCAGAGCTGGAAGGGGTTGCCGCCGGAGGTCGTGGGCAGGCCACTGGCCTTGCCCTTGGCGGGGATCTGGGCCAGACAGTGCCTGTCAGCCCTGCGGCCAACCCGCCCCCACTGCCCAGTCAGTCGCCCCACTGCTGCAGTCACACTCGTACACGGGAGAACAGAGCCTCCAGGGCTGCGGTCAGAGGGGCAGGAGCTCAGACAACTGCAGTGCAGGGAGGCCCAAGACAGGCTGTGGGCGGGTTCTAGTTCTAAGCTGCAGGTTCTAGAAGGAACTGCTCTGTTGACCCTCCTTCTTCAGGGAATCCAGGGGTCAGGCCCTGCGGTGGGTGTGCATTTTCGGCTAATCTCCACCCCCACTAGAGACCCCTGTCCACCTGAAGGGCGGAATGGCTAACACTCGGGGTCTGCACTCCCCACCCCTCAGTGCAGGGCCCTGCCTCTCCAGACCACCTTTGCCCCCCAACTCCCACGGGCATCTGTGGTTCACTCGTGTCCCTCCCCGTCAGGGCGGGCTCGGGAGCCCTGGACTGCCCCATGCCACCACAGGCCCTGGGCCAGCTGCAGCTCATGGTCCCACCAGGTGTGGCCATTCCTTACCCCACCTCCAAGGACCACACAGAATTCCTACAAAGTTTTATTTTAACAAAGCACTCAAGCACCCGGCACGGGGGCTGCTGGGCCTGTGTTTAGCTGGGGCAGGGTGTGACAGTGAGCAGCTGTCCCAGACACCACTGCACTTCCTCTGGGCCCCGGTAGGCCCGCTTCAGGCCCCTAGGGAGGCAGCGGCAGGACTCCAGGTTGAGGTACAGCAGACCTGGGCAGCTGCTGATCATGGAGCTGTGGGCAGGGCAGGTCGTGGGCAACCGAGCTGCTACCCGGAAGGCCCAGGCCCACATCGGGCTCCCTCCCCTCAGACCCGAGGTCTGGAGCCAGGTGGGACCCCAGGCAGGGCGGGCGTGTTCAAGGGACGGGGAGGCAGTGCTGACCTGACACTGCTTGCTGTGACCCGGGTACCTCTGAGGTTGAGGGAGTGCAGGGCTGGTCGCCAGTCCCCAGGGGTGACGGCAAATGCAGCCAGAGCCTCCTCCAGGTCACGCTCGCTGAAGCCCTGGCCGCTCAAGTCCAGTTCCCGCAGGGTGTGGCACCACTTCCGGGTCAGCAGGGGGCTGCCTTCCTTGGCCAGCGTCAGGCGCTCGGACATGCCGTAGAGGCCCAGGTGCAGCTGCTCCAGCTCTGAGGTGAGAGCATGGGCCTGAGTGGCAGGGCAGGGTCCCCTTGTCCCATCTCCCCAGCCGGCACCCAGGGACTGCTGACCCTGACAGGGCAGCCAGTGCAGGCCAGCAGGTGTGATGCGGGCACAGCCACGGAGATCCAGCAGGCGCAGGCTGGGGGAGCTGTGGAGCAGGCGGCCCAGGACCTCGTTGCTCACAAAGTTGCAGCTGGAGCTGGCGAGGCAGAGCTCCTCCAGGCTGGGGAAGCCTGGCCCAGGGGGCACCCCTCGCCCCGAAGGTTTGGGCAGCCACGCAAAGCAGCACCTGGAAGCAAGGCCCAGGATGCAGACAAGGAGGGCGAGAGGGTGACGGGGTAGGGGGAGCGCCAGGTACCTGCAGCTGAGGGCAGCCTTTCTGCAGGGCCTCGACGGGTACCTGCAGGGGGGTACTGTTGCGGTGGATGCCAGTGCTCACCTCCAGAACCTGCAGCTGGGGGCAGCAGCTCCCCTGCAGCAGGGGAGCACTGGTCAGTGACCTGGCAGTCCCCAGCCTGGCGTCAGGCTCTGCACCCACCCATCACCAACCTACCAGCAGTGCGCCCAGGATGCCCGCCGTCTGAGAGCTGTAGGTCAGCCACAGCCTGCGCACTCGGGGGCCTGCCTCCTCCAGAAAGCTCACCACAGCTGTGGACTCCACCTGGGGTGGCACAGGGGCTCGGTCACCACCACCCGGCATCCTCGGGACCCTGTGGGACCAGGACTCACCATGGAGTGCTGCAGGTCCAGGCTGTGCAGCAGACGGCAGGCTTGGGCTAGCATGACCAGCGTGTCTGAGGTCACTCCATGGCAGTCCGAGAGCTTGAGGAAGGTGAGGCGAGGACAGGACTCGCTAACCAGCTGCAGGAAGACAGGGCCAGTGGGACTGGGGCAGGGCGGCTAGGGTCCACAAGAGAGACACCCCTGACAGCCAGTCCTGCCTGAGTGCCCCACCTGGACACCTGCCAGGTGGAGAAAACAGAAGCAGGCCTGTGGGCGCCCAGCCCAGGTAGCACAGTGGGGGGTGGGCGTGTCCAGGATCGGGGATCCTGTGTAGGGCAGCCCTGGGCTCTCACCTTCAGCACAGAGTGTACCTGGGACTTCCAGTGGATGAGGGTCAGCCTCTGGAGCTGTGAGAACCTGGGCCAACAGCACAAGCGGGCTGCACCAGGGTCCCTGGCACCCCTTCCCGGTGTCCTCCCCACCCTACCTCGCTGCCCAGACAGAAGGGCCTGCGTTGGTTGGTCCACAGCCACACTCGGGGAGCAAGAGAAGGCAGAGAGGACTGGGCACAAGCCACTCCAGGGAAGCAAGAAGTTTCTTCTCGGCCTTGACTCCGTCCTTCACAGGGCGGCCAGCCAGCGGGGGCGACAGAGTCACGGTGTGCCAGAGCGCCGGCTGGGAGGCGGCCTCGTGCCAGCGGCGGCACACGCGCGCAGCCCTGTGAAAACAGGTCTGGGGAGGCTGCCAGGCGTCTCGGGTGATGCCCCCTACCCAACGCCTCTACGGGTGTCCTCAGAGGACAGGATCTACTCCCGCAACTCGCAGCGGCCCGCCGCAAGGCCCGGGCGCGGGCGCGCTCCGCCGAGTACTGGTGGTGGGACCGGCTGGGGCCCAGCGGCTCGGAGTTCAGAGCCGGGACCCCCAGGGCTGCTCTCTGGACCACAGCCCGGGTACTCGTGTCCGTGCGCTCGGACGCCGGCCCCCGCCACCCGCCTCCTGGATCCAGGGGGCCAGGCGGCGCGC